TAAAAGTGAGAACATACAAGTAGCCTCACAAATTCGGTTTTGTGTTAAAAACCGAACCGAACCGAATTATAATTCGGTTTAAATCGACCGAACCGAATTATAATTCAGTTCAAATTCGGTTTGAGGTTTGGGGGAATTCGGAGACCCGGTATTCATAATTTTGGTTCGGTCGAAACCGAACCGACCGAATGCCCACCCCTAATTTGAGTGGCCTAACCGACAATGTCATAATTCCCAATCCGAAACTTCAAATAAATAACTAGGACAATGAGTTTGAGTAGTACGAAATAACAAAGACTTTGAAACATTATCACAACTAGAGACTTGATGCACATGACAAGCAAGACCAATGCTTCCATCTTCACATGAGGAATAATTTCCTCCATGCAATGTTGATTATCCTGAACATTCCCGATTCCCTTCACTAGAAGATGACATCCATTGGCTTCATGTAACTCTAAAAGTGGCCCAGTATAAATTTCTTCAACAAAAATTATGAGAACTGTTCATATGATTAAAAGCAACAGAGTCAAGATGCCAAGAGTTTGAGGAACCAGAAGACATAACAACCGTAAAAATGAAAAGTTAGAGTGGAAGAAAGAGTGTCCTTAAAAACGTCTTGCACCATCTGACAAATGGTTTTAAAAGAGAGCGTAGGGTGAGCCAAGCAAACTTGTTTTATTGCATAATTCAGAACGGGAAGAAGACTATCACGTGTCCCTTCAATCCCCCATCTAGTGATCAATTCCTGCCAGGTCAAGCGAGGGTGGGAAATCACCAATTATGTGGCCAGGAGTCTTGTAGTAGTTATATGTATTTTTCTTCTTGTAGTGAATGAGTATACGTCTCGATTCCTTTCAAAATGTTAAATTAGCTCACTCGTGGAAGTACGATGGAGTTGGGGCTTTCCGGATTGTACAACAAAGGTTGTGCCATTCTCAGTATAGTGAATATCAGTCTTGGATAGACTTCTCAACCTACTTTCCTCACGAAGCAACTCTCCAAAGATTCCTCCATGGACGTTACATTATGACGAAGAAGATATACACTAATGCTCTCATAATCTGCCCACAACCTCATCGAGAAGAACATCAGTCGTGATCCTGCACGCTTCTTCAACATGACATTGATTCAAAATCTGGAATGCATAAAGAGAGTAACAAATCCTGCTCAATCCACAGATGCACCGCTGCCTGATAATAACACCGAATGTGTTTGTCTCCTTACTCAATATAAGCAATTTATGATTCTAGCTCAAACTTCCTTGAGCCATTTAGTTGAGAGTGGAGATTGATAAGATGTTGCCACATATCATGAGCCGTGACAAAGTCTCAAAAATTTAGTGCAATACCAGGATCAATCGAAGACAGAATCCATAAAATCAGTTGAGCGTTGTTCGCCTACCCATCCTCCTTTGCCTTACCAGAAGCATCGACAGGCAGCTGCTTGGAATTACCATCCATCATAGCTAGCAAATGACGTACATGAACAAATATACGAAACTGTAATTCCCACGAGGGGAAATTCTTTCCAGTGAGCTTGATTGAAACAACCTCAATCTTGGGATCCATGATAACAACAGAAATAAGAGACCTAATACAAATAGAGAAACAAATGTGTTCGAAGAATCTGAGCACCCAACAGCTCATAAGAATCAACGAGAGAACCAAAAGAAGTGGTTAGTTGTATGGAAATGAAAAGACAAAAGGTAGAAATCAAAGAACCACGGAAAAAAACCTACCATTACCAGACAACTCGACCAAACCCACCCTTTATATGCAGGCCAACTTAACCCTAAACAAAAAGGTACATAAGTAATTAACCTTATAATCATGGTTAATTACCTACCAAATATATTAACTTCAACAAGTTCATCCTCAAGTATTTTCAAAGTCAGATTTAGTCTTCTTGGCTCACAAAATTGGCGCCCCGTGTAAAGCAAAGATTTGAACATGTTTTTGTTCTTTCTTCGAGGGAGAAGAGGTGGTTTAGAGGTTTTTTTTTTTTATGGGCAATATCAAAAATTTTATTGAAGCTCTATGTGTCCCCTGTGAAAATAGGAGAAACACATCTGGACCATTACAAATCACAGCATTTACACTGCTACTACTGCTACTAGCACTACATATACACAGCAAACTAAGATGACAAGAAACCTATCCTAACCTAAACTTCGTTGTTTTACTGACTAAGAACTGCTCTGCAATCTGTATCCAAAGCAGCATTTCCACATCTGGCCAACTCAATATTCCTGCGCACTGTCCGGACCAACTCCATAGACTGCATAGTTGAAGTACCATATACTCTTCCACAGCGTTCCCTCCAAATCAAGCTCACAACCAGGTTCCAAACCAGTCTACCAACCATTGCTAAAGCCTTCTTCCCCTTGAAAGTTCGTACAGCCCACTGCAAATAATCCTCATAACCATTCAACTGAGGACTTATTAGATTAAGCATAAGCATACAGTTTTTTAGAACCTGATACGTGTAATGGCAGCTAAAAAACAGATGGTCCCTATCCTCTGCTTGAGCCAAACAGAATAGACAGGTTGCACTGGCTACTTTCCCCCAACTCTGCAGCTGTGCAAGTGTTGTGATCCTGTTTCGTGTTATAATCCAGCAAAGAAAACTGTGCTTTGGAATCAAAAATCTCCCCCAAACCAACTGATACCAGTCCACTCGAGGTCTAACAGGTTGCAGGTCTTGCCAAACCTGCTTCACAGAGTAAATTGTCATTCTCATATCCTTCCAATACACTTGTGTACCCCAGCATCTAAAAAATCCTTCCACCTTGTCCCTGACCTTTAGTAGTCTTTTCCATATCCAAGAGGCAGTGCTGCATTTCCCCAGTTCCCATAGAGTTAAGTTCTTGATTCTATACATGTACGTCCAAGCAACCCACCATGAACCTTCCTTTGCTAGCAAACTCCATATGTGTCTTGTTGTACAAGCCACATTCCAAGTTTTGAGACATCTAATACCCAACCCCCCTTCTTTCTTTGGTACTGCCAACAAATCCCAGGCCATCACAGCCTTTTTCCTCATGGACTCATCAGTTATACCCCAGAGGAACTTACTACATAGCTGCTCTATCTCCTTAATGACTGACATTGGCAAAAGAAACACATTCATCCAGTAAAATGACAGGCTACTCAATACTGAATTTATGAGCTGTAACTTCCCTGCATAGCTAAGCAATTTAGGTTTCCAGCCAGCAATTCTCTTTGTGATTTTTTCAACTAACACCCTACAATCACCCTTGGTCAGTTTACCTGCTATTAAAGGGACTCCTAGGTATCGAACAGGTAATTCTGCCTTTTGAAATCCAGCCAATTGAGCTAATCTTTCATGATCCCTCTCTGCAACCCCTGCACAAAATAACTGACTCTTCTCTGGGTTGAATCTCAGACCTGATAACCTATAAAACCTGTCCAATAGGCATTTCACACTCTCCACTGCCTTAGTTGAACCATTAGAGAAAAGTAATAGGTCATCAGCAAACACAAGGTGAGTGATGCCTAGTCTCTTGCACCTAGGATGGTAAGGGAATTCTCCTAAAGCTGCCCCCTTGTTCAGGATACACGAGTGGTTTAGAGGTTTGAATCCACAAACAAGATGCACAACCTAGAGCAGTAGTCTGATACCCCGCCCCACAACAACTTAACTACGCCCATAGCCTAGTTTAGAAGACGCATAATGCTTGTCAGCCCTGCTTGGTCCTAGAGTGCCCATTAGGCTCAATGCCTCCTTTGGCTCGAGCCATGTCTCGAATGCCTGCCGGACTCGACCAAGTCCACGACTCCTAGAGTCTAGTCGTCAAAAGAGCACAATACATTTTAGGTAGGGGTGGCTATACGGTCCGGTCCGGTTAAATTGGCCCAAATTGATCCGGTCCAGTCCGGTTTTTTTGAAAATATAAGGACCAAAGATTGGATTGGATACAGTCCGGTCTTGATCCGGTCCGGTCTTGACCCGGTCCGGTCCCAATTCGATCTTGATTTTATATTGAGATTGTGGGAATTTGAGTGGCCTAAGGCCTAAAAGGGTGAGGAGTTGGTTAAGTTTTGTACTAAGTGCAAAGGTTTGTGACCGTTTATGCAAATTACACTTAAGTTTTGGGTGTTGAGCTCTCTTATCCGGTCTTTATCCGGTTTTTTACCTCAAATCTAAGCCCAAAGATTGGATTGGATTGTTTACTATCCGGTCCCGGTCCGGTCTCGGTCCGGGTTATACGGTCCGGTTTCCGGTTTTTTATCCGGTCCCGGTCCAAATAGCCAGCCCTAATTTTAGGCCCCGCTTAGTATTAATTAATTCTATAAATATTAAATACTAAGGGGTCGTTTGGAAGTTGTGATTCTAAATGAATGATTCTTTGAATTCATGTATTCTAGAGAAACCATCTTTTTTTTGTCCCAAAACTTTATTCAATACATGCATTTGAGGTGAGTCTTCAAATCTCAATTCAACCACAATCACTCATTTTAAATCTCAACAAAAAGGTGAGATTCTTCTTTTGAGATTGTGAGCTTTAATTTGTTCCACTTTTAGCTCATAAAGTGCTTTTTTCTTTTATTTAAATTTTTTGAGTTGTTACAAACAGACAATACATTCTTCCAATCATCTAATTCTTACAATTTTTATATTTACAATACATGTATTCATCGAATACACATATTTGAAAAATCTCAACTTCCAAACAAACCCTAAAAGAATTAATAGAATTGTCATTAGCATTTAGCACCGAGACTATGGCGCACCTCTAGTTTTTTAGGCCAAGGTATGAAAACGACAGAAGTGTATACAACACGATGTGTCACTTACAGCCTTTGAGAGTGTTTTACAGGCGAGTTCTCTTACCCACTGTACTGCCACGGTGACACTTCCCGCGGTGCATTGTTCGTCACCTCGACTCGGCACTGTGACTTTGATCTAAGAATGGTAGAAAATTGGGAGCTTGAGCATTTCGAATCCACGGCTTTACTACGGCTGTGTGATTGTCAATGAACAAAAGTGTTTTGTCATTTCAGATCCTTTCGGATTCTGCGAGAAGAGCTCACTACGACTGCTACCTGTTGTCTCAGAGAAAGATAGTGCAGAGACAAGGTTCAAGGTTGCAAATGTATAACTCGCATGCTAGTGATGTTAGAGAGATGGAAGTTGTGGAATGGTTGCGGTGGTATAGGTCAGCCATAAACGATATAGTGGCAGAGAGAAGGGTTGCTGTTGGGACGGGTTATTTTGATGTTCTCGAAGCCGATTTTTATTCGGCCATCCATTCTGCTTTTTACGGTCCTGAAATCGAGTCTATGGACCTTCTTCCAGACCGTTTTGAAGCGGAGGAAAGATCTGTTTATGAAACTCCAGAGGTGTTGCACTTGGTTTCTGGAAGGGATGTTTTTGGAATGGTCTCCATTGTCAATGATATTCTTGAATTATCTCCTTCTGCTGCTATGAAATTAAGTCCTACATTTAGCAGTTTGGAGATGCATCAATCTCCAGAGAATGTGAGAGCCAATGAATATGGCCATGCAAGCTCTAGGCATCATGTGGGACGCACTGGGAGATATTCGCCAGATGCTTATAAAGATCTAGAATTACATATATGTGGATCTGTGGTTGCTGTGGCGAGTAGAACTCCTCCTAAATGCCAAAGCCATGGAGTGCAAAATGAAGATCTGCAAGATGAAATACGTGTTTTCCTATGTTCCAACGGTAATTCCACTACTGTTGGGAATGTATCGTCCGAAAAATCATTTTTAGGAGATCGGATTCCACTGGGAAGTATAATTGGATTGGGGACCAGTGCTGATGAAGGATCATGCTCTGTGTATGACAGCTGCGGCAAAAATACCCACACTATTATGAAACACAGGACATTCATGGTATGTAATGGTTTATCCTTCCTCAATCATCGTCTATTTCCTGGATGGTCGTGATAGTTTTTCGCCTTCACGTTTTGTGTTCACCAAAAGGTGAAGTAGAATTCAGAACTTCTGCCTAAATGAGATTTATCTAGTGTGCATGCTTGTTTACTGACTAAATTGGACATTTGAGTTGCTGCTAATCACAGCTCCCCATTCTCTTCATCGAACGGTGATTTATTTCTACCTGGTGAGGTGGATTTGTTTCTTTGTTGCATGTAGTTGGCATTAATCATAGCTTCACTATTATATAAGGATTGCTAGCTTTGAGCTTAGGCATTTCTGCTTACTTGCATATGCATCCATTGCCAAATTAGTGTGGAAAGCATATTTCACTTTTGGTTTCTAGGATGAAAGGGCTTTTTCATTGGTAATGTACAAAATTAGTGCTATTGGCGTTTCACTTAATTTCCTTGTTTCAAAGTTAACATTTTTGGTCCTTCATGGTTGATAGCTATATTCTGAGATTATTTAACCTACGAGAGTTGACTTCTGGAGGGAATTCTTGTGCTTATACTTGTAGGAAGCCCTAATCTGCTGCCACAGTCTTATCAATTGCTTGCAGGAAATCCTTATTCGGTCAAGGTACATCTTTCCTCATTTTTGCTTGTTACTTGCAGGTGAAGCATATGCACTGGTATGCTCTGGGAGATAAGGTTTCTGTTTGTGAGTGTAGATGCAGTAGAGCTCGGTTACCACCAAGCAAGTAAGAAAGTAATTGGAAGTATGATATGATAGATGATTCTGCTTGAATGTCTTGGCCTTATATGTTTCTGCTTCTAAATGATTCATCCATAACGTGTGAAATTTTACACATGAGGTTTCTCTCTTGGAGGATGGACTTTAATAAGTTCAATCTTCAGCATGGTTTTTCAGTTTTATTTTTCATTTGGAAATTTGATTACAGATTTTGGCTGTTTGAGCCTCGTTGTGGCATGCACGATATTGGAGGTTGGTACATTGAAACATTTGGTCGGGACAGGAAAGGTCACACAGTGACATCACAAAGATATTGGGATGGTTGTAATGGAAGCGAGCTATATGACAAGTATGTCGATCTCCTTGTTAAATGAATGTAGAAGTTCCAGCTTTAAACTGATGTTTACACGGGTTCTCTTTCCAGTTTAGGGAACCATGAAGTATAAAATTATAGCGTTTGATTTCCCGCTCTTTGTTGAAATAACTTCTTAATTTTGGCTGTTGGTATGACACATGAAGCTGGCCAATATCTGAATTGTTTAACTTCTTTGCTTTTTGTGCCATCGCAGAAGACTCCACCCAGCAATGTATTTGCTTGCTCTTGCTTATAGAACTCTAGACATTGAAGAAGGAAGAAGGAGAAAAAGACAAGTTACAGATATTGTTGGAAATAAATTATTGAGGATTCTCCATTGGTGCAAAAGATTTGCATAGACCTTACCTTCAACATGTAATATCCTCTTTATGCTTCCTCACTTCTGATGTTTAAGGATGAGGAGATTGGGTGGACTGGCTGAGGGTGCCGTCGGTAGTCATTTGATTATCTGGCTCTAAATCTTTGAGTTTTAACATACTTGAAGAACCTGCAGTATACTCATCTGCAGTGGAGAGGAAATGTTGAGTCCATAAGGGTTTGATAGATGGATATTATTGAAAGCCACTCAATTGGCATTCGGTTATGGAGACTGTTGATAATTCTGGCAAAAGCTGTTCTTCCTGCCTGGTTTGCTCGCCCTGAATTGAGGTGATTTTTCAGTAAAGCATTTGGTTGTATAAATTTTTTTTAGAACCTTTGTGTTCCCCACGTTTCCATTCTCTACATTACTTGATATATGGTCATCTTTCTCACTGGGAATCATTTCCTCCTTGGAGTATTGTCCACCTGCTAATGCTCGACAACATCTGTCTCTGCAGTACGCTGGTCTTTCATCCGCAGCTTTGGCAGCAGCTGCTGCTAAATCATGGTCAGTCTTAACTTCTCCAGGTAATTGAAGCAGCTCTTCTTTTCTGCAACATGTATATAACAGAATGTTGGATGTTGTAAATCGGTAGAGCTATGAGTAATATTGTTGATATCGTTTGAAACGTTTGATTCTGGAAATGGCGTATTACAAGAATGAGTGTATTAAGATTATGTGTATACTAAAAATGTGTGGATTTTAAGAATGTTTTGTTTGGAAAACATAGAAGAATGCATGAATTATACATGAAATGAACTATGGATACTAAATCTCACAAAAATGGTGAGACTAAGTATACATCATTCTCTATACATGCATTTTGTGATTAACACTAGTAAAAAAAAACGTTATATTCTGCTAGATCATCATATCATCTTTTCCTCATGTTAAAGGTGGTCTGGAAGAAATCTCCTACAGGTGCAGCAAATATGAACAGTGACACTCCTGCAACCAGTAAGGCTCCCTTCCCCACCAGTGTTTGTTTCAGCGAGTCACTTCGTAAGGTCAGCATTTTTGTTCAATTGCATCCTATGGCTTGAGCTTAGCCTGAGCATTTGGGCTCCATTCTTCAGCTCAATCAGCAGCCTGGCTGGCTGCAACAACAGAGAGAGTCCGCTTGTTTTGTTCTGCATTGCATGCAGACAATCTTTTCTTTCTTATGGAATCTCACTCAGCCTTGGAGGTTCATTGTTTCTAATGGGGTGGCCAGCGAAGCAGAGGCGATCTGGTGGCGCGTGGCTGGAGATGGGCGACACACGTGGGTAAGTGTGTCTGGTTGTGGGCCTTGCACGAGTCTTTCTGCGTGCACCGCGTGTCCGCGCCGGTTCAATCAGTGGAGAAATTGTCCGGTTAATGAGTGTAGAACTAGAACCTGTCCTAATCTTATCCGCGGATCAATCTTTTCACTTGCTTGTTTAAAAGATTGGAGGAAGAGTGGCTGATTCTTGATTGAGAAGTTGTGAATTTTTTTCTTTTTCGGTGAAAGATATTATGGATGAGTTTTACGGTATACTTTGAATCTGTTTGTATAGAATTTGTTACACTGTTGGTAATTGTTGTTTATATGTTAAACAAAAATGGTAAACATTAAATTAGTGATTGTAAAAAATTTGTAAATGTTTTAGGGGATTACTAATTGTCGCCCTAACTTTACTTAAATGTTTAATACTATGCAACTCAATGTATGTATTACAAAAACATAACTAATGGTTATAATTTGGAAAAGAGAGATAGTCATGTCATAAAATGGTAAGGAGAAAAATTAGGGGGTCAGGAAAGAGTTGACTGGATTTTGGGTAGTAAACCAGATTTTTGGGGCTGGCGAGGATATTTAATCTATAGTTATGCACAATTTAAAGGGGATTGCTATTCGTCGCCCTAAATTAACTTACTCGTCGCCCTAAATCTTATTGAATTTACACAAATACCCTTATTTTTAATTTTTCGCGGGTATTGAACACAGAAACGGAGCGGCGCCGAGGATTTGCTTACCTTTCTTCTTCGCATCAATCAACCAGCTACGTCCGAGATCTGCCTCCCCTCCTTCTTCGCAGCACCAGACCAACACCGCCCGGGATTTGCCTCCTCTCCTTCCTCCTGCACAAGAGCGACAACTATTGGAGAATTATATGGAACGAAGAATTGGTTAATATATGAACAGATTAGTCTGATCATGAACCAAGTTGTCCTTCCATTTAATTTGAATTAACCATCCACATGATTTATTGGAAAAGAAAGGTCCAATTAATGGTCCCCGTAATTAATTGTTCAATTTGAATGAACAAAGGATATATCCCCCAATTATTGTGCCTCCATGAATGGTTGAATGCATAAATGAAGCAGGTGGCGGGGATTGAATTCGGCGACAGCAGCAGCGGCCGTCCTCCTCTGCCTAGCAACAGCAACACGACATCGCCAGGGATCAGTTCTGGGTTTTGCCAAGAATCGGAGGCGGCGGATTATGGTTGCCGAGAGAAGGCTCTAGGGTTTAGGTTTGATTTGGGGTAGGGGTATACGTGTCATTTCAGTGTAGTTTAGGGCGATAAAATTTAAATTTTAGGGCGACGAATAGCGTTTCAGAATTTAAATCCCCTGCGAAATTTTAGCGGATGATGCCTCATTCGTTTTATATTAGATTTTAATTTTTTTTGTGCTCTACAAGATTTTATTACCATTGATATATGATATGATAATGCTATGATATTGATATGACAATGATGTATATTGGTATGAGGTTGATAACATCCAAATTGGTGTTATTTATTCCCTATATCTAGGTTTATTTTGCATCGTTTTACGTTCATAATGAATAAAATATTGTTGGATATAGCCCTATTTTTGTTCCTTTTAGATTATATCGTCATATTAGGGTGTATTAGACAATACATGTGAATTAGGTACTAAAAAGGTCACAAGTGTAGCAAGAATGGAGCTAAAGATCACGACCTGGAACTAGAAGATGGCGGTCGGGTAAATAGGGCGCAAAGATGGAGCTGAGATCGCATGCTAAGGAGCAAAGTTCGCGCCCGCGATCTTTGGCTCTTCAGGCGTAAACTTCAGAAGAAGTCGGCACGGGAGAAGCAGAGAGTTTCGGTCGTTGTTTCATGGCCTCCGTCTTTCCAGCACGCAAGAAAGATCGTGATAGAGACCCGCGTGGCGGGTAGGGCGGGTTGGGTTGTTCGGCCATGTGGGCCGGGTGGGTTATTTTGTTAATTTCTGAAACTCATAAAAGAGGGTAGAGTACGTTCATTTGAGATCAGACAATAATATTATCAAAATCCCTAAATTCCTCTTTTCTCTGTTCTTCCCCAATCCTTCTCTCAATCCCTAATTCTATTTCTCACTTCCCTACCCAATTCTCTTACTTCATTTGGTATCAGAGCCTCCAATGAGCTCGATACGGCTCTCTGATCAGGAATGGACTTACGTGAAGCAACAATTTGATGCTATCTGGGCTGCCCAAGCTTGCACAGCGTTGGAACAAGGCCGGGAGATGGTGACTGTCGCGGCAGTGAGGTGGCTCGCAGTGCGGTCAGCGGTGGTGGACGGGCCACGCGACCGGGGCGTCGCGGAGGGTGAGGCGGCGCGACAGGAGCCGACTGCGGAGCCCTGGGCTGCGGTTGGCGGGCCGCGGCGGGTGCTGGCCGAGGATGGTGGAGGCGGCGAGGTCGCCGGGGCTGTGCGCCAGGGGAAACGACGAGCGCCGAGGAGCAGGGCGGGCGGCGGGATGCGTCTCGCACGGCGAAGGAGGGCACGGCGGCAGCGGGTTCGATGGGAGATCGAGCAGCCCCTTCTCTGTCGCTCCATGCGGTGATGCGGCTTCCGACACCGGGGACCCTCCGTTTCCGGGCTCAGGTTGCCGGCACCATGGCCCTAACCTTGGTGGACAACGACGCTTCCTTGAACTTTATCAGTGAGGAGCTCGCCAAGCTTATTCCACAGGCGCCAAGCTCGGTGAATTCCATGGTGGTTCGAGTCGCGAATGGGGCACCTATGCAGTGCAAGGCTGTCTATAAGGAGATTCCATTCGAGATTCAAGGGCTGTATGTCACTGCGGATGTGTTTGTGTTGCCCATTCGTGGGATTGACATGATTTTGGGTGTTCCATGGTTGCAGGGATTAGGACCGGTCACCACTGATTGGCGTAGTTTGACCATGCGGTTCAAATGGAGGGATAAGGAGCGGTGTTTGTGAGGGCTTACCACGGCCCTAGGTCCGATCTCCCTCCACGAGTGCACCATCGAGGAGGAGGCGGAGCTGGCTGTCCTATGCTGGCCTGTGATGACGAATGAGGATCAGAAGCTAGCCCCCGACCTCCAACGGGTTCTAGCAGATTTTCCGGAGCTCTTCCAGACACCGACCACATTGCCTACCCATCGACAGGTTGACCACCGCATTCAGCTCAAGGAGGGGGTGGAGGCTGTGAATGTCCGCCCCTATCGATACGGCCATTCCCAAAAGGAGGAGATCGAGCGCCAGGTTAAGGAGATGCTCACGACCGGTTTAATCCGGCCCAGCACCAGTCCCTTCTCTTCGCCGGTGCTGTTGGTCAAGAAGAAGGATGGGACTTGGAGGTTTTGCACTGATTACCGGCCACTTAACGCCGCTACGGTGAAGGATCGATTCCCAATCCCGACGGTGGACGATATGCTCGACGAGCTACACGGATCAACCTACTTTACTAAGCTCGATCTGCGAGCAGGGTACCACCAGATTCGGATGCAGGAGGAGGATGCACACAAGACCGCCTTCCGGACTCATAATGGCCATTATGAGTACTTGGTCATGCCCTTTGGTTTGTGCAATGCTCCTTCGACCTTTCAGGCGGCGATGAATGAGATTTTCCGACCTTTGCTGAGACGATATGTGCTGGTATTCTTTGATGATATTCTTGTCTACAGCCCATCTTGGGAGATGCATTTACAGCACTTGCAGGCCGTGTTTGAGATACTACGGCGCCACCAGTACTACCTCAAGGCTTCGAAATGTGCATTTGGGGTGCAGAGGGTGGAGTATCTGGGCCACATTGTCACGGCCCAGGGGGTCCAGGTGGATCAGAAGAAGATTCAGGCCATGGCCGAGCGGCCAACACCGACCACGATCACGGAGTTGAGAGGGTTCCTAGGCTTGACCGGGTACTACTGGAAGTTTGTGCAGGGCTACAGTATGATCGCTCGACCCCTGACTGATTTGTTGAAGAAGGGCGGGTTTGTGTGGACCTCAGATGCCGACAGGGCATTTCAGCAGCTTAAGCAGGCCATGACTACCACCCCGACTCTAGCCATGCCGGACTTTTCTCGGACCTTTGTGATTGAGGCGGATGCTTCCGGTCGAGGCATTGGGGCGGTGTTATCTCAGGATCGGCACCCGGTGGCCTATATGAGTAAGACCTTGGCTCCATCCAAGGAAGTTTGGTCCACTTAACTAAAGGAGATGCAGGCTATCATTACAGTAGTACAGATGTGGCGGCCATATCTTCTGGGCCAAAAGTTCCACATATACACCGATAATAAGAGCCTGAGGAACCTCCTGGAGCAGCGAGTCTCCACTCCCGATCAGCACAGGTGGGTCTCGAAGCTCCTCGGGTACGATTATGAGATTCACTACCGACCGGGTCCCTCCAACGTCGTGGCTGACGGGCTTTCACGGCGTTCTGGGGGAGAGGTACTGGCGGCAGTAACGAGGCCGGTTCCACAGTTCTGGGACGCGCTACGGGCTTTGACAGAGACGATACTTACCTACAGGGATGTCGGGATACTGCGGTCATTGAAACCCCAGGCCATTACTCCTTCCGTCAGGGGTTGGTCTTCTTCCGTGGGCGTCTTGTTTCCACGAGGATAGTCCCTGGTGACGACCGTGTTGCAGGAGTATCATGAATATCCTTTTGGAGGGCATTCGGGGGTCGAGATGACGCTGAGGAGTATCCGGGCCCAGTTTTATTGGCCCCAGATGGGTCAGGATGTGAGGACTATGTGGCATCGTGCGATACTTTTCAGAGGGTCAAGACGTCTCATCTGCGACCAGCATGCCTTTTGCAGCCCTTGCCCATACCCGAGAGGGTGTGGGAGGACATCAGTATGGACTTCATCGTCGGCCTTCCCCCTTCCGGAGGAAAGACAGTCTTGTTCGTCGTTGTTGACCGACTGACGAAGTATGCCCATTTCATGGCCCTGGCGCATCCATATACAGCCCAATCAGTGGCCGAGCAGTTTGTGATGGGGGGTAGTGCGACATCACAGGTTCCCGCGGTCTATAGTCAGTGACTGGGACTCCGTCTTCTTGAGTAGTTTCTGGCAGGAGGTGTTCGCTATGGCTCAGACCACCCTGCGGATGAGTTCCGTCTATCACCCACAGACAGATGGCCAGACGGAGGTGGTTAACCGTTACATGGAGCAGTAGTTGCGCTGCTTTGCTCACCAGCAGTCGAGGCGGTGGTTGGCTCTGTTGCCCTGGGCCGAGTTATGGTATAACTCCACGTACCATAGGGCGATTCGGACTTCCCCGTTTGAGGCAGTGTATGGGAGGCCGCCACCTTCCTTGGTCCGTTATCAGAACGACACCAGCCGGGTGGATGCAGTGGACCGCTGGCTAGAGACGCGGGATGAGGCCTTCGAGCAACTCAA